AGTTTAAAGAAAAATGAAATGCTGTTCTAAATTCACCAGCTGAAGGTAAAACAGTAAATTGAGAAATGGTTATAATTATAATTTCTTCTTTCAGTTAATTTTCAAAAAAATGGAAAAACAGGGCACTACCACGGCAGTGAGGAAACCTAATGGGGCAGCAGCACCACTGTCCACAATGAACTGAGGAGGAAACCCCCGACATTTCAACTTTATTGTGTTTTATTCACAATAAATAATTCATGGCACAACTGACATTTTATTCAGTCTAATTAATAACTAGTTATTAAAACAAAAAAAACCCAAACAAGAGAACGAGAGACAGGAGCTATCGCTTCCTAGTTGAACAGGAGGGCACCTCAGAAATTTGCCCCCCCCCGGCCCTGTACAGCACAGCTATGCGCAGCAGGAGGGACTTTCAGCCCTGCTTCCATACCAGGAAGGTTCAATCATGACACCAAACAGCCAAACCGTGCCAGACTGATTTTGAAATTAAAAAATAAAAGTATAAAAGAAAGGCAGAGATTGTGACTGCCGCGTACAATACACTGTAATGCCACAAGCCTTTGGACAGTCAGACAGTAACAGAGCAGTAAGGCAGAACTTTTCCTTTTCAAAAATTACTGGCAAAAATATCTAAGACGTTATCTGGTATTTTTAATTTTTTATCAGTTCTGTAGAAGCACTGCTGCTTTAATGGTTTTTCCTTGCAACACTCTACCCTCTGCAAACATAGTAGGCAAGTTCTCCAGTCAGGTCTCTTTCCTCTAAATAATCAGTGCTTCAATTTCTATAGATAGAAGCAGGGTCTAAGAGTAGTTGAAAAAGCATAACCATTTTTTTCAAGCCGTGACACAGAGTAACTCCTCTTCCTGTTGTTCTGATTCAATATAGTTTACCTGCCTACAGATAACTTCGTTTCTCTGAAATGTATTCAATTGGTTTAATCTACAGAAGGCATACAGGTTTTATTTTATTCTCTTACTGTCCATCTCCAAATATAAGCGTCAAGTACCTAATTACAGCAGAAATGGGAGTTTTGGGGATCCTTGCAGCCAGAGGGATACCCACCAAACAGAGCCTTTCTATAGGTTGCGCAGTGTCAGGGGGATTTCCCAGCAGTTACTTTTCCACGGCCCTTGGGTAAAGGAAAGTACCAATTTTCAAACCATCTACCAGTTCAGATCAGGAGTTCGGAATGGCAAAGAACCTTCTACAGAAAACATGTTCCCAGCGAGCTTCGCGAGGCACAAGGTGTTCGAGTTCCCCCTCCCTCCAAGAGGCCTTGCACCCAGCTTTACTCTGTCTTACAGCACAGATGCAGAGTTCTTGGGTTGTTTTCTGTAACATCTGAGCCTGCCCATTGCAGGCATACACTAGCGTTTGATTATCCCATTACTGCCAGTCCAAATGTAGAATACAAAACTTCCAACCTGAAAGTATTTAAATACAGAAGTTAGAATAACACCTGCTTTCTCAAGTAGTCATTGATTAGCCTCCACCTTTTCCTTATATATAAACATTCCTTCAGAACATACATTCAGAAAGAAGCAAGTATGACAGATCATGGTCCTCCCCATCTCAGATTCCTCATTTAATCTTTTTTGAGAATAGTATCACCTTAGAAGTACAAAGACAGAAAAGAGCGAGCTTTTCTACAAACTGAAAATCCCGATTTTTTTTTCCACTTCCAGTCTTTCCCATTCTCCATCCTACACCCTGAAGAATTTCATACGGGCATCCAGTAAGTTCACAAACAACTTATTTATGGTATCTTCAAAGTCACAGCTTAATGAAATTACTAATAAGCCAGTAAATACAAGGTGAACCGGACAAGGGTGAATACCGTCACTTCACACCAGTGAACTAGCCTCAACGCTTGCAGGCTGAAAAAAAACCCCAAAACCAAACAACCATCAGCTGCACCCTAAGACGGGTTGGAGGTCACACAAGGGATGGGCAAAAGATTCACCCTAACTTCATTATTTTCAGTATTGCTTCTTTAAACTAATCTAGCTTAGGTGAATTAAGTTGCAGAACAAAGCACTCAAACATCTAGCCAGATTGACTGAATTAACAGCTGACACGCTGTACGTAAGCTGCCAGCAAGCACCAGCTTCAGCTGATCATTCCGAAAGCAAACGTGAAGGCTGTTCATATTGCTGCATTAATCTGTTGCTGCAGAGTGGAGTTATGTAACTGAAATACGGCACACGCGAAGTTGATAGGACCCATTTCAGCACATACTACTCATTACACAGCCCTTGAGCATAACAGAGGGCATGAATAATAGCTTCAGCTAAAAGTCAGCTGGTAGCAAGATGGACACGGATGCTTAATTCTTAAATATGCAGAAAGTAAGGCTACAGCACTAGAATATGCTTATAAACGTGGCCTGAGTTTCCTTTTTGCTTTCTGCATTTGTACTTTTGCTGGAAAAAAAAATTAATAAACACTATAGGAGACACATGACATTTTAAATACTAATTAAAGAGGTTAATATCAAAGACCAGACGGACGAAAATTTATTTAGAGTTCCACAACATACATGTCAACTCAGCATCAAATTGAGCTTGAACACAGCAATCCTTGCAAAAACCCAAGCGTGTAAGTGTTGCTTGTCCTCCTGGAGACTGCTTCAAATGGTTTCTCCAACCCCATTCATCTTCAACCAATAGCACCAAGAAACGCATTCAGTACAGAGGGTTTGAAAACTGAAGTTGTCCCAGTAATGGAGCCAGAAAGGAACTCAAATCATAACCAGAAACTTCCACTTGAAAAAAAATTCAAAGCAAAATAAACTCCCGAGCATCTCAGTTTTACTAGCCGATATAGGACTGATCCCATTTGCTCATTTTCAAACTTAAAGAAATTATAACCTGTTCTGTGGCAGACACAACAAAAGAATTCATAAAAGGGTAAGATAGTATAGTACCATATTTTTGAGGCATTTATGCTTTAATTTAAAAGGGTTCGGTTCATAATGGTCTATTTATTAAAGTTTGCAATTTATAAGAATAAAAATCTATGCAAGAAAAGAACCAAGAGTTTCAGGTTTGGTTATGAATGCATTTTGCTTCAAAAGCCTTTTCAAAACATTTGCTAAACAGGCATGTTTAATTTTACTAGGAAAAAAATAACAATTAACATAAAAACAATGCACGTTAACATCATTAACAAGCTGTTTCTCTGGCCGTACGTTACCATTAACATGAACGGAAACCCACCGGATCAGCACTATCCTCCCCTCACCATTCCCTTCCGTAATGACCATTGCCAATTCCTACAATTTTTTAAAATTCTTATTTTACGAACAAAATTTGCTCATAGATGTATCGCTGTGAAATACTTCTACCAAGATTAAATGTACTCACTAATGTCTTTTAAAACTTAACAGTAGCTTCCAGCACCTACAAACCTATTATTCAGTAATTGCTAGAGCATGCAAATTATCTGCAACAATGCAAAGCACAATGGCCATAAAATGCTGTTCTATCCAAGGCACTTTAACATCAACACGGGCTAATATTTAGCAACCAAATCAACACAGTGAACATTTTTGTTAATTCATTAAGCTGGAGAAGGCTGTGGGCAAAGGGGTTGGGGGTGAGTTGTTTTTATGTTTTTACTTCAGAACATACGCAAGTTTTCATTGCGACTAAACCCCATGTAAAAAAAAAAACAACATAACAACAAAAAAGAAGGATCTTAAGATAAAATGAAAATGGGTAACTTACAAATTTAAATACCGGTCTGATGCACGTGGCTTTCTTTTTAAAGCGAGTGCTGCCGCCTTAGATATTAATGGGTCTTTGGAAAAATACACACCAATGCTCATCAAGAGTAACAGGCAAGCTACTGTGGATCGACTTGCCCCTTCCTACGTAAAAAAGAAGCAAAGCCTCATGTCTTACTGATTGGCATCAGCCTCTTTGGGAGGCAACTGTTCTGTCAGCAAAGGCCAAGATTTCCAAAGGCAGCACCCTGGGCAGTCGCAGGTCCTTCTCAGGCTGCAGCCTCACCATGCAACAACATCCCCAAATCTGCCAGCATCATCACTCAAGCAATTGTTCCCAGTGATCTGGAATGATTTAAGTATTCTTACGCTGCAAGTCCTATCTTAAGTGAGTATTTTGACTTCACAGGGTCAAAGTGGTTATGTACGTGCAATAATACCAGCAGATCTAAGGGAATGGTAAGCCTCCAGCAAAAGGAGAGGTGAAAAATAGCTGCGCCCCTTCATCTATACTGCAGTCAGAAGAGGACACGGCATTAACCACAGCCTAACCCCAGACATCACAAACATCTCGGGGGAAAGAAACCCCTTCTTTGAGGGTTTGACAGCCTTTCTGCAGGGAGAGCTGGTGCTTTGAGTGCCTGCCTTTTCCTGATAACAAGAATCCTGTCGAATGTGCACTGGTCCATGGAGTTGCTTCAGAGAAGCAGGAGGAGGGACCATCAGGGACCTGACATGGCTTCAAGTTCAATTATCACTTCAACAATGTTTTCCTTGGGAATCCATGATCTCAGTATTTTTCCAGTCCCAAAAAGAATTAAGGCTCTGCAAACGCTATGCACAAAAGAATTTCTATCTGCATAGAACCAGAGTGGAGCACAGGAGAATCACCGAAGAATTCTTCCTCATCCTTCCTCTTGCACTGATTTCCAGACAATCATCTGGGCCGTTCTTTTTAAATTTTATGCTGAAGTCTTGCTACGGCTTCCAGTGATTTCACTTGCTGTGAACACTTCCACCGACTTAAGTGGAAGGAGGGCTGTATCCTGAAGATTCTCCAGAAAACCGAAACAAGAGCTTTAGTGAAATAATTCAAGGAAGCATACTCCCTACTACACCTAATTACACTTGACTTTATTCTTGAGCTGTGGTGATCCACAGCCATTCTCAATTACACACAATGGAAACATCAAAGAAACCTGGTGGGACAATTTGAGATATTTGAGACAGCTTACCAAGAAAACAAAACACCCCAAAAAACACTACAGCGGATAAAACAGTATCTAGTTTATTACATATAGAAAGAGATTTCCAGAATTTACAAACACCCACATTTTCATTCTAGGGAAAGAGTCAATTCGAAAAGTTCACCCTTTTTTGTTTTCATTTTGTTTTGTGGTTTTCTGTTGGTTGTTTTTTTTTCTTTACAATATATACAATGGAAGACTTTGATTTCTTTTTTCTGATTTTTTTTGTCAGTTCCTGTGCAATTGATGAATTCAAGTTGACACTTGTAAATACCATGTACAGTAATGTTTGTCTTCATTGTAGTTAATACAGACTATTATTTTACAAGGAGTACAAAATTATTTTTCTTTTGGAAAGAACTCAACATCAGGGTTATCTTACAACTGATAGTATCAGTAAATATGACTGTACAATCAAGGCCCAGGGACCAATGACTCATATTATATTATTTTCTGAATTACAATCTTAAAACAAGAATAGTACCCTACTCTATTCTTAGAAGCCTTGTTTTAAGCAGGTTTCCCACTCTGTTTACAACAGAATATAGTATACCTCAGTTCCACATCAAAAAAGATGTGCTGTAGGAAAAGTTACATTTTAATTAAAAAAGTACATGTATAAATCAAAACCTATGTTAAATATTTAATACTCTTCAACCAACATTAAGTTTTGTATGTAATAATTTACAATGATGATTTGTCATACAGGTTTTCAGCAGCAAATGAAGTTGTGTAAATGTGCTAGTAAAATACCCATTCTCACCATGACATAGTGGTGGGCACATGAGTTCATTGTGGCCAGCTAAGTCCTTATGGTAGAGGATGAAGTAAGAGAGACTCATTGTCCAGGTGTCACAGTGCTTCTGCTTGGCACAACACAGGATGTGCAGCTCAGTCAACTAACTCCTGAGGTTTGTGTAAAGTAAACAAACTGAACTGGATGCATCGTACCCATTTACAGAGGAAGAGGAGGAGGAGGAGGAGGAGGAGGTGAGGTCCTAGTTGTGATAGCATGAAACATTTATAGTCTTGATACCCATGAGTTAAAGAAGGATTTGCTGAGGTTGTATAGGTCATCATTCTGAAATTGAAAGAGAAAGAAAATTAGCATCATGGGCACTTTAAAAGCTTTTATTTCCCTCCCCCTCCTTTTTTTTTTTTTCCTTTAAAAGAGTTATCATCCAAACCGAAAATGTTAGCACCTTGAAAAATTATGGCATACACAGTTGAACTGTACTCAAGCATCTCAATCCCAAAAGCATTTAGAACAGATGTTGGCAATAAAATTCAAAGCAGTCAGAAATACATTTAAAACTTGCAAGAGATTCACCTAAGCAGAAACAATTTAAGTGTCCATACTGATTAACTCCGACAAGCTCCTGTGACAAGAGAAAGAAAAGCTCAAACCATTAGCCTGCTGGTGGTGTTTTTACTCACTACAAGAAAGATTCATTAGGCCTCCTTGTAGGGCTTCCTGGCCACCTGCAAATGCCACGGCTTGCATGAGAAGGATGACCAAGGAATGGAGCATTAGGGGTGCAGCATTACCGTTCCCTCTAGACATACAAGTTACAAAAAAAATTGTATCCAGAAAATCCTGTTAAAGTCCACAAATTTATCTACAATCTGCTTCTCTCTCTGACAGAGGACTGGGTGAATAACAAGGCCCTGCAACCCTAATAATGCGAAGCACAGGTTTACTGGGGAATGAGTGTCAGAAGCTGCCTTTGACCCTGTCCCACCAGTCCTCCTCATCTCTTGGCTCCAGCCTCCCTGATCTAGCACACGGTGCAACTGTCTCTGTCAACAAGTCCTCTCAACTCTGCTTTTCAGTCCGTTTTACACAGGCAGGTCATCAGCACAAGGGCCCTGATCACGAGTGATGCAGCGCACAGCGGGGTGCGCTCGGTGCCGATCTGCCTCGTGTCCTGCCGGCAATCCCGCGGCAGATGCTTTGGCCCCCAGCGGGGAGTGGTGTCCCTGCTGGAGGACGCAGGGTTGAGGCCGCACGCCGGGGTGCCGTGGGGTGCCTCCCCGCTGCACCCCAGGCCCTGCCGCAATGGCTGGCCGCACGCACGCACAGCATGCTCCTCTCACCAAGCATGCGATCCCCGAGCCACCGCAGACCACAGCCCCGTCCCTCCTCTCTTCGCGCTACAGTCGCATGCAGCCATACCCACCGGGGACTGAACAACGCGCCAGTGAAATGAATACTATTTTTGTTTTAACTGGGGTTAGAGGACTACCATCATTTACATTTCAGGAGTTTCGCCTAAATTCTGATGAAGCAAGACTTAGATTTTACATAAAAGTGTGTCTATTTCTATATTCGATATTAACTATGCTCCTGAAAAGATAGGTAAACAGTGCATTTTCCTCAGTACAAATAAAGGCTTCCCATAGACACGTTGAAGTAAAAAAACTGAAAAGACCTCCTGTCCTATATTCTTTAATTGCCCAAGAAACAGAATTTACTTTGTGTGGTCCTTCAAGTGAAAGGAAAGCCTATCCCTGCAAATGATGTGTGGTATGCTGTGAAAACTCCCTGGAGAATTATCTCACAGATCTCTTATTTACTTTCAACTTTCTTCTGCACTCACATTGCGATCTACTGGAATGTTCCTACCCAAATATCTATACACAGCTTCACATAGCTTTGCAGCTTTCAACTATGTTGGACCTAAAATTAGCCAGTAATGCCATACTTTATTAATAAAGACGGGCGACAAAGGAGAAATGGCTTCATTGAAACGGAGGAGCAAAGCATGCTCCGTGATTTGCGTGCTGCGTATCTGAGGCGGGTGTTTCACAGCCGGCTCCTGTCCAGCAGGGCCAGAGGAACAGTTGGGTGCCCACCAGCGGGGCCCCACAGCCCGACCTGCCCTGCACGTACAGGGCGAGCGGAAGGAAAGCAAGTCACAATTTTTCTACATCGCTAGACCTTATTCTCCTAAGAGATTTTAAGTAAATAAATAATAATTTGCAGTATCAGGGCCAAGTATTACGCCTCTTCACTAGTATTCAGGTCACCTAATCTCAAATACATCATGTATTGAACAAAATGGCCCGTCCAATCCAATTCCTCACCGATTCAACCAATATGACCAAGAAGCCATTGTGACCGCTACTAGCGGGCATTCATTCCCCGATTCAGAAGTCAGAAGAGCAAAGGAAGAAAGAGACTAACAAGCCTATTTGGAAAACAGAACACTTCCTAGAGGAATTCACTAAGAAAATAATACTGAGGAAACCCACAGTTACAGAAACCCAGACGCTCACATACTAAAGTCCTGCGCACGTGTAAAAAGAGTGAAAAAACACAGCAGGCTGAAATATCCAAGAGTCTGAGACTTGAGAGCCAGAATCATGTAGGACACGAGCTGGTACAGGCTGCATTTCATACAAACTTCAGCTGCAGGTATGACAGGACGCAGGGGCACAGAGCAGTTTCAAGCTTGTAATTACACCTCGAGGATCTTTAGCAGTACAACATGGAAATCTATCTGTCAACCCTTTGATAAAAATGTATCGGCAGCTTTTGTTTTCTTCTAATTTTGTGAAGGAAAATAAATTTAGACTCTGCTATGGACTGTCTGAAATTATTCATTGCAATTATTTGCTTTCACATCCCCAATTCCTCTGACAAATCTCTTTCCACAAAACAAAAATTGTGTAACTGAGAACGACAACCCGTGCTACTATTACAGGACAGCGGTGCCCGTTCTGTCTGAATGCACAAAAATGCCTAGAAAACAGCCATTCTGAGAGCAAAGCTGCTCCTCCAAGGTCACTGGAAATACGGTCAACCTATAAGGCCTTGGATCCAGGGAGTTCTTGTTTGTGCATAACTTATAGCCAAAAGCCCCATCCTCAATTTTAGCGTACAAATGCTCTTTGCTGGACTTAAAAGAATATTTCTTAAATTTTTGACGAAACAATCTGAATCTCCTCTCTCCTCAGTGAACTATTACAGTACGTTTCAAGGCAGAAGCACCTTATTCGGAATTGAAGTCATCGGCTGGACACCTCATTGTTTCTTATCAACAGCCATCAGCATTTCCTTAACAACATATAAAAACAGTGCAGAAGACAAGTGTTTTAATAGAGAGTGCTAGGACTGCAGCGAGCTGAGGTAAGGACCATTAAAACTACTGACATCACTGTTGGCAACGAGAGAAAAGGGAAAACCTGTGTTTAATCTATTTCCTATTCACCACAAGTTTCAGCTGGAGTCCCCAATAATGCAGTTTGTGGTTGACTTTATGGAAAAAATTAGTGATGCGAGAAAAATGTACTGAAACAAACAAGCATCTTTAAAAGTTACTACAAGGTACCTTTGACAAGTAGTCTCTGCTCAACATCTGTTACAACACACGTGCAGATAACACTCACGCACGTTCCAGCTGGCAACGCTTTCTTCTTAAATCTATTAGTCCAGGCTGGATACGACACAGCTAGCTGTAGTTCCTATTACAGCTGAAGTCCCATTCTTAAATCCAGTAACTAAAAATAAGTTGATACTTCATTTTATTTCCATTATCGGGGAGCTGGAGAAGGAGAGGAGTACTTAAAATTTGAACTCTCTAAGAGCAGAGTGTCTAGACAATTTAATAATATATCTTTCCTGAAGTTAACAGAATTTCCATACATAAAATAGATGTGTTGTTAAAATACACTTAAAGTGTAATCCTTACCCCTTCCTTACAATCCATTCTCTTTGAAAAGTAACCAAGAAGGAACAAATATATCAAAAGAAATGAAAGTGAAAACTCAAGCGATCTTCAAGCAAAAGACTTCCCAGTCACCAGTTTAAACTTCTATTTGCTATTAAGGGCCAATAATGTGTCTTGTCCCTAAAACACCAATAGAAATGCCCTTCCAAAGGGTCAATTCATTTCAAAACAAGTAAAATAACACAAAGTTGCTGCTGAAGCTCCACGATCATTTCAGCAAATAAATGCAACTACTTTGTCACCAATTAATATGCCAGGGCAAAACGCGGCTCCCAAACACCAGACCTGCTTAGCACCCTGTGACACCTTTCCAGTTTTAGCTGGACATCTGTTTAGGAAACAACTCTACAGGTAACAGAGCCAGGTCAATGAAAAGGTGACCCCTGACTGCAGAAACCACAGACTTTTCCAGATCTACCGAAGGAGGATCATTTCCCAACTCTGCCATCAACCTTGCTAAACCAAACGTATTCTCCAAAGCTGTACCCATCCCACCAGCATCTCATTTGAAACAATGAACAACGAGGACTCGTTGAAGACTCCCTGTCAAAGTTACTAGCTAGAAACAAAAGGTTTTAAAAGTACGTGCACTTGTTGTTTACTTTGGGATCATATAGAGCATCCCATTCTGTGATTTACTGCATAATGAACACATCTACCTAGTAAAAAATAAAAAGCTCAGGGACGAAAGCTGAAAATAAAAAGATAGCCATTATGAAAATACACCAGCCGAATTTCACAAGTCGAGGGCGGCATGCAGCCTGGGCACCCTTTGTCTGGGCAGGTATAACCAAGTGTCTTTAGAAATCTGACACAAAGTAAACACATGAAGTAGTCCTGAAAAGCTCATTTACAGCTCTTGTCTTGGTGACATTTGCATGAGTCATCACCTAATTCTAATGAAACAGTGCACACCTACTTAAAAGCTGAATTTATCCACCCGTTTTTGTGTTCGCCATACCGATGATCGTAAGTAGTGTCTGTTTACATATTTCTTGGTATTACTAACGTGCACACAGATATGAGAAGTATCCCATTCGGATAAATTAAAAACATCAACCAAAATTTAAACTAGCTCAAATAACTTCTTTTCAAAGAGATGGAAATACATTGTACAGTTTCCCCAATCTCACATGGACCGTAGAAAGAGTAAAGGAATGCAAGAAGAAACAATGGTTGCTCTAGTATGTTAATTGCAGCCTGAGTACTAACAAAAGGAATTCAAAATAGAACTAAACAAGGTAATTACAACATTGCTATTTAACTTGACAGGCTATAATCTACATTTAATAAGCCTAGATAAGCTTTTCTTCATTGTACCCCAAAATGCCTATTTCAGCTTTCTTGT